ACTAACTCCATCATCCAGCCCTCCGCTGTTCCGACTGGCGCTGCCAGCTCCGGCACCCAGCCGGAGCTGTCTGCCGCGCCAACCGGCGCAACTGACTCCGTCATCCAGCCAGAGCCGCCTGCTGCACCAACTGGCACTGCCGACCCCAGCTTCCAGCTGGAGGCGCCTGCTGCGCCAACCGGCGCAGCTGACTTCGTCATCCAGCCGGAGCCGCCTGCTGCACCAACTGGCACCGCCGACCCCAGTGTCCAGCCGGAGCCGTCTGCTACACCAACCGGCACTGCCGACCCCAGCGTCCAGCCGGAGTCTTATGCTGCTCCCTAGGGTGTTTATCTTTCCTTTTCCTGCTTGCTTGGTCTGGACATCTTTGTTAAATTCGCACAATTCCACCCGTGGGGTGTATTTTAAACTTTGCTGAATGCTGGCCAATGGGCCTCTATCTATGTAAATATTCTATCGCAACTTTATGCTTTGTTCTGCCGATCTCTAACTTTCCTTGCGTGTACTCCTTGCTTTTTTTCCTTTGCTGCCCTCCCTTAGCTATCCTCTTGCCAGCCAAACAGCCGCTCTGCGGACTGTGGCTGGTTTAAGTACTTAGCTTTTTTGCGGGAGGGCAAGTACTTAGCCGTTTGGAAGTTTTTGCAAGGGAGGTAGAGGCCGGCTGGCCGGCTGCTCGGCAGCTGGCCGGGCAGGTATGGTGCCGACCTCGGCTATATGTGCTCTTTCCTTAACCATTTTTCATGTGGGCACTGTCTTGCCGCCTCTGCTCGCCATGTAGTCGCTCCGCGAACTGTGGCTTCTAACAGAAGAGGTTTTAGGTGCCAACACATTTCTTGTCCGGCTGCAGGACGCGGCATATAGTAGAAGGCGGCAAACCTCCGGGCCGACTGGTCGACCCGGTGCCAGGCGGAATATTAACAAGGCACACACATGGGCATAACGCTTATCATATAGATAAAGGAAAGGGCAGTCCCCGAGTTCGTCTCGGGGGGGGGCCGGAGTCTTTGTACATAATACAAAAGGTAGCGTGATACATAATGCTTTCAACTGTAAACTCTTCGAAGGAGGTTTGCATTCCACGGCCTCTCCGTCTCCTTGCCTGAGTCATCTCTTTTGCGTGCTCTGGGCTTCTGAGCGTCGATCAGATAGTAGGAGTCGTTGCCCAGCACCTTGCTGATGATGAAGGGGCCTTCCCAAGGTGCTGAGAGCTTGTGCTGGCCGGCTGTTCGCTGTATCAGCCGGAGCACAAGGTCTCCCTCTTGGAAGGATCTTGGCCTCACCTTGCGGTTGTAGTATCGGCGCAGACTCTGCTGGTAGATGGCGGACCGGCTGAGTGCCAACAGCCAGCCTTCTTCCAGCAGGTCGACGCCATCTTCTCGTGCCTCCTTGGCGTCCGCCTTGGTGAACATGGTGACTCGTGAGGAGTCGAACTCTATGTCCGTCGGGATGACGGCTTCAGCACCATAGACGAGGAAGAAGGGCGTGAAGCCGGTCGACTTGTTCGGAGTTGTGCGCAGGCTCCAGAGGACGGCCGGCAGCTCATCGAGCCAGCAGCCGGCCGAACGCTTGAGAGGCTCGACCAGTCGGGGCTTGATGCCGGACAAGATGAGGCCGTTTACTCGCTCAACCTGGCCGTTTGACAGCAGGTGGGCAACGGACGCTAAGTCCAGTCGGATGCCCTGCGTCGCGCAGAAACACGCCAAGGCTCCTTTGGCAAAGTTTGTGCCATTGTCGGTGATGATGCTATGCGGTATGCCCTACCGAGTGGTGATGTCGGCAATGAAAGTCACGTCAGTTGGCCCATTCAGTTTCTTGATTGGCTTGGCCTCTACCCACTTGGTGAACTTGTGCACGGCGACAAGCAGATGAGTCATGCCACCACGGGCTGTCTTGAATGGCCCCACCATATCCAAACCCCAAACAGCAAAGGGCCAAGCAATGGGGATAGTCTTGAGTGTAGAAGCTGGCAAATGAGGCTTGGAGCGGAATCTTTGGCACCCTTGGCACTTCTGGGCCAACTCTTTAGCCTCTTCGAGAGCAGTCGGCCAGAAGAAACCATGACGAAAGGCTTTGGCAACAAGTGCTCTTGAGGCCGCGTGGTGGCCACATTCACCCTGGTGAATATCTCTGAGGATTGCTTGGCCCTGGTCCGGCTCCACACAGCGCTGGTACACACCAGTGACACTGCGCCGAACCAGCTCTTTGTTGACTATGGTGTATGCCGCCGCCCGTCGTTGCACTTGTCGGGCCAGGGTCTCGTCGGCTGGCAGCTCTTTGTTTACCAGGAATCTGTAGATGGGTTGAGCCCATGATGGTGCTGCTATCTCTCCGACTACTACGACAGCAACTTGTACGAGGGCGGTTGGGCTGGGAGGCGGCGGGTTGGAGTCGGCTGCCGCCTGCTGTCTTGAAGGAGTCCACGGGCCGACTGCTGCAGTCCCCGGGCCGGGCTTTGGAATTCCCAGGCCGGGTGCGACGGCTGCAGTCCCCGGGCCGCCTGCCGAAGTCCCCGTGCCGGCTTCTGGTATCCTCAAGTCGGATCCGACTACTTCAGGAGGGGCCGGCACGAAGATGGAGTCGGACTCTGGAGATGACTTGACAGACGGCTTGAGGAGGCGCTACAAGGCGACGCCGGCTGGTATCGCCTGGCGGGTGGAGCCGATCCGTGACAAGGCATCTGCTTACTCATTATCATTTCTTGGCACATGGAGGAACTCACATCCGTCAAAGTATCCACTGAGGATACTTTATCTATTCTTCACATTTTCCTTTGTAAGATGATTTTATTCCTGTTGAGGATAATCAATTATGTTGTTAACCCCAGTCATTAAATTATGACAAGGAACTTGGTTTAATACAACTTTTAGATCACTTATTTTTGTATAGATGATAGTTGATATTCTGAGATGGTTAATGTTTCAGTTTTTTTACCTTATACGGTGAAATGTTCATCCATATAAATGGGGAATCTCTTCGTGTACGCTTCTCTGCCACAACATGGGTGCAAAATTAGGAGAACAACTGATCTGTCTCTATGGTGCATGCTTAATTGATTTAACGTGTCCTTTTTGGTGCATATATCTAGCTCCGATTGGTTCTTGATTTCTCTGATTGTTACAAATTAACCGAATTAACGTGACCTTATTTAAAAAAATTGCTGAGTAAACATTCAGAGAGACCTAATTAAGATTGATTATACTTATATGATATGTTTGTTAGTTCCTTTATACTCCAAAAGAAAAAAAAACTGGCTAACAAAACTCTGTCAATGATTAATAATTCAGTGTATAATAATTTATAAGAACAAGTACGATCTCAAGTGAACCTTTGGTTGGAAACGTCTGTTTCTAATTGAACTATAGCCTGTAAAAATATTAATAGCAAGGTTGTGTTTACATTTGTACCAGGAAGTGAATCCACTATCAACTGCATTGTGTAATAATACACACATAGGTAAATAGCTTGCTGATTTAGACAGTTATGAAACTCAAATGACAAATGTAGGATGAATGGAGCAAACAGCAATGACCGCATACAGATTAATGACAATGAAGGTGTTAGTTCCCACCTCTATTTGTTATGACTGTTATGGATCGGAATCTGTTGGATTAGTATATAGCACACGTGCCATTCCTTGCTTAATAGACATGCATTGCTCTGTTTGTCATGGCTGCTCTGCACTTTAGCCTGAGTCTTCAGTTCAGTAATTGTTGTTTCTCCCTAAAACAAAACTGACACTTTGTATGATTGATTACTCAGAGAGCCACAATCACACAAGGAAATCTTAATATGGCACTCAGAGAGCACTTAATATGGCAAATGTGATAATTATCATTAATTAAATATTTTTTGTTAAGTAAAGAGTTTCATGTACTTCTAAACCAAAGATGAAGTTTTTGTCATTAATTTACCTCCAAAGAGTTTCTAACACATTTTTTTGTGCTCAAAATAACCACGGTAGGTGCTTTTACACAACTTTTGCAGGTGCAGCCTAGAGATGCGACAAACCAAAAGAAAACAACCTGGCTCTTCTACAGGAATGAGGAATAGGATGAGCTAATCCGACCTATGTGCTTTTGCTTCCTCTACAACTTGGTTCGGTCCCCCTCTATGTTTTTCTTTGTAAATAGGACTGCTTAGATCGAAAACCCTAATCTAGTTGCCATTGCAAGGATCCCAAGGTTTCTGGATCTGAGAGAAGCTGGGAGAAAAGGGCGTACTGTCCTTTCTTGCTTAGGGGAGAACAAGATGGGACAGGAGTTAGGTGAGGAGAGGGAAGGAGACGACGAGGAGAAACATAGGGGGCGGGCGGGGAGGAAGCACGTGGGGGTGGGGGGACCAGGTGTGTTTCTTCTCAGCTCTATGGCTGGACGCAGGAATGGGGGGATCGAGAGTGGACTGGGACACTTTCCTATCCTGGAGAGGGGGATAGGAAACTTCCTAATCGGGAGGACCGCCAGGGAGCGCTAGAGAGCAGCCGACAGCTTGCTAGACGTGTCCTACAAAGTTTCATGATGAAAAAATATTCATGGATGTCTGGACAAAAAAAACAAAATACTTTCGAGAATTAACCTTTTCATATCATCATTTTTGTTTTCTTTTCCATACCTACACAAATTCTTTTACATTGCGAAATTTTGCATGTTGGTAAAACATTCAACAATGTTTGCCCCGAAAAAGATATACTCCCTCCGTTCCTAAATATTCGTCTTTTTAGAGATTTCAAATAAACGACACATAGGATGTATATAGACATATTTTAGAGTGTAGATTCACTCATCTTGCTCCGTATGTAGTCACTTGTTAAAATCTCTAGAAAGACGAATATTTAGGAACGAAGGGAGTATTTCTTTTTAAAGTTGTTCTTTTTCTACTCTTCAGTCACACGAATGCACGGGCGTCCAGAAACTCCATGTCCTAGATTGTCTCATCCAAAAAAAGGTAACGATTACAAAGTACAATTTTATTTGTAGCACTACAGGACTCAAAACTCTTATATACTATTCAATTTTATTTTCAGACGCCTGCAAAGGACTTCCACGGCAGTAGTAACTATCACAGTTGTCATATGTGAACATTGCATACTCGGGACGGGAGAGCAGAGCAGCGCCGCGAATCGCCGCTTCCTCCTCCACAATTGGCTCTCGGCCATGGAAGTAGTCCCTGAAAAACGCAAGAATCTTGGGGATCCTCACGCTACCGCCGACGAGGATGATCTCGTCAACGCTATCCCACCGGCCGGGAGGGTGCCACCACCGCCACGTCACCAGCAGGTCCACCATGCTCATGGCTCTCGCCAACAGATCATGGTTGAGCTCCTCGAACTCGGCCCTCGTGAGCGGCTGGAAGAAATCCGCGCCGTCCAAGAGCGACTCCACCTTCACAAGCGTGGTATCCCGGTAGGTCAGTGTCTTCTTGGCCCTCTCGCACGCCGCCCTCAGCTCGCGAAGCGCGCCGTCGTCCCGGCGGAGGTCCCGGTGGTGCTTCTCCCCGATAAGCTGGACGAAGTGGTCCACGAGGCGGCCGGTGAAGTCGTCGCCGCCCAGGTGAACATCGTGGCGCCCTTCAATGAGATGAGCCGTGCCGTCTCGAAACTTGAACATGGCGCCGTGGGTCGTGTGGCCGCCCATGTGGAAGACGAGGATGACCATGCCTTCGCGCGCCTTCCCGTGATGGCCGTGCGCCGCGGCCACCGCGACGTGCTCGTCGACGTACCTCGCGGCGGAGAAGCCGCCCTCGAGCCGGGCGGTCGTTGCGAGAAGATGCCTTTTGTAGTCCCTCGAGTGCCAGGGGACGGTCAGTAGGACGTTCCTGATCTTGCGGCCCAGGTGCGCCTCCGCCATCCGCTTCAGCTTGGATATGAGAATTCCGGCGACTTCGTCGGCGGGGAAAACCTTGGCGCCGCCTTCCTCGCTCTGGGTCTGGATAGCGCATCTTCCATCCGGGGTCTCAACGAGTTTGTACGGCACTAGCTCCATCTCTCTCTTCACCACATCCTCAAAAATCCTGCCAACCAGATGAATTACAGCATGATCGGGCATGTTCCAAATGTTGGCATTGCCAAATATTGGCAAGACAAGACTTTTCAACTATTGGCAACTCTATATGAGATAAACAACACAACTCGATAACCAATCAAGTAGTAGCCAATATTTGACACAATGCGAAACATTGGCAATGTCAATTTTTGGCACCAAACCAATTATGCTTTAATACCGCCGACGAAGAGAGGAGGAAAAAAAACAAGAGAGATTGTTACCTGGAACCGAGGACGCGTTTGAAGCCAGAGACGGCCATCCCGGGGCTGACGGCGGCGTGGTTCAAGGCGGCCTCGCCGAAGAGGGTGGCGTTGGGGGTGAAGGCGACCCAGGAGGGGATGCAGAGCTTGTACGAGTGGCCTGGATTCTGGAGCCCCCCGTAGCCGGCGATGCAGGCCTTGGTGTTGCCGATGTGGATGGCCGTCGTGTTTCCCCTTCGGAACGCCGCCGTACCCGATGCCGCCGCTGCAAGAAGATACTACCATATTAAGCAGCCTGCCGAACCAACTCCCCGTTGAATTGAAAACACTAATACGATTTGACTTGCATAAGCACAAGAGATGTACCGATGAGCAGAAGAACGGCAAGAGGGGGGAGACAACTCGCCATGGATTGATTCGAAGCTTTTACTCCAGTCCAGACCAGAGAGAGGAAAGAACGAGCACGTACCTCTGTGCCTCTGTTTCGCTGTTCGCCAGGGCCCAGGGGTGTGGTGTGGCACGGGACATGTCACCGCATCTTCGATGGCCGTTGGATCTTGCAAGCAGCGGCTGGTGATGGCAGGGCCGGTACATGTCACCCGCAACATCGAGAGCTTTCCGGAAAAAAGAATCATCATTCTGAGGAAAGTCTGATTTTCCTTTTGGAAACCCAGGAAAGCGTGATTTTATTATTTAACAAACAATAGAAAATTATGGTCTGCATGTTTTATTATTGGGTGTGCCGTGTGACTAGGGTGTGATTATGTTCTTTTTTAGATATTTTATATTTTAATATGTTATTTATTTATTTCCTACCTTTTCAATTTGCAAGTCATAATTTTTCAGAAAAAATAAAAGGCACATTGGCAACACATGGTGAAAATTTATTAAAAAAAAAACCCTCTAGTTGCATGCATATGTTGCCGCATGTGTAGTTGCGTGTGGGTGCGCCATATGCAGTTGCTCGGGGTGCACCTTGCGCCCGTGTGCAACTGATACAGTTTTTTTTTAAATGGTTGCATGAGTGTGTTGGTGTCGTGTCCACGATGAAAAATAGAAAATAAGAAATAAGAAATGTAAGAAAACCAAGTTGCGTGGGGTTGGTGCACCTGCAGTTACGTGTGGGGTGACGCATGAAATTTACACCAAGGAGCGAGGATGCAATTATAGTTGCACAAATGCCGACCGACATGTTACATGCAAACAACAGGCATGCAATTGTCGTTTCCGCGTACCAAAAAAGAAAACACATACACCAAGAAACAAAATAATAGTACTATAAAAAACCCAGAGGCAAAAATCTACACCAATCACCTAGTAAAATCACTTATACTTGACTGTTGATTGAGAACAGAACCATTTTGTATTATTTTGGATAGTCTTATTTTTACCAAATATTTTGGGTAAAACAATGTTTACATTCCGACTCATTCCATTTATCAAATAGGAAACTTTCCACTCTCTATTTCAACCCTCTGTGTACCTTCTATATTCTTTTTGCGAGAGAAACTTTCGATCTATTTATACTCAGTCATGCCAAGTATAGAGAACACCAGAGAGAACAAGAGCCTCTATAACCATAGAAATGCAAAAGGGGTTTTCAAAGCCTTTGCATGGATGGAAATTTTCCCTATCAATTTTATAGCGGAGGAATTTCAGTATAGCATATACTTCCTCCGTCCCGAATTACTTGTCACAGAAATTGATAGTAATGAATGTATCTAGAACTAAAATACATCTAGATACATTCATTCCCGTGACAAGTAATTCTGAATGGAGAGAATATCTGTTTACAAGAGAGAGAAAATGCTATTGAGTGATGGTTCAATACAACAGCGACACTTAATTTGCTATTATAAATGTGCAAGATCTTACTTCTCAGCCCAAACTGAGAGTCATATACTCCTACTTGGCACGGGTGCTCGTTCTGACTTATTTCATACTTTTAAGCGATATTCGTTTAGTGGGAGACGATGTTTTTGTCGACTATGAGATGGATGTATTGACTTGTTTATGCACGGGATTTACAACTAACAGGAATAGACATAACATATGATTAGTGTTTTTGATACTATGGAACTGTGTGGACAATTGTTAGTGTTACAGAGAAAATATCGTATGCTTTGGTTGGATTTTTTTGTCTTTTTTTTTAAATTGTTCGATTTTCTTGACGATCATGAGCTTTCTGTGAAATCTAGTGCAAGTGAATCTTGAACCCTAAGAATTAGAGTATTCTCCTCCCGCAAAAAAGAAAAAATTAGAGTATTCTCCAAAGTACTTTTCTGAGAAACCTTTGAATCGAACGACCCTAAATCTGTGGTTGGGGTGAGCTTCATCTTATCTGGCTCTAAGGTGAGCTTCCCCATCTTCCGACGGTACGGCGTCCTTCGAGCCAGGACGAGGGGTAGGGGTCCTCTTCGGAGATGGTTTCGGGTAGTTTGTTGCAGCTCACCACTCCTGGTGCAGATGAGGGCATGCTCCCTGCCTATGATGGGTCTCATCTTGTTAGTGCTTCCGCTCCACCTCTGGTGCTCATTCTGCGGCTGGGGACATCATCGACATCAAGCGAAGCTTTGTTGTCCATTATGTTGTAGTGCTTGCTGTTGTTGAGGTTTGTAAGTTGTCTAGTAGTACCATGTATCTGCCGTCTTTTTCTTTTTCCTCTTGTAAGGTGCTGTCCGATGTAACTCCTGACCGGTTGATGGCTTTGTTAATTCAAAGCCAGGCTCTCTCTCGAGCCTTCTTTCTAAAAAAATCTGTGGTTGGTAAACAATACAGTACATTTGGGAGCAGCCGTGAGCACTGAGCACTGAATTTGGGAGCAGCCGTGAGCACTGCGACTCTTAATGAAACAAAACCGATGCATGCTTGACCTTGTGTTTATTGCTTATTGGAGCATCGGAGCCTCGAACGCGCGTACGTAGTACTAATTCTTTAAGCAGTTCGTTGGTCGAGGTTGATTAAACGTGAGTTGATCGACCGCCCGCGCGGGTGGGTGTATATAAACCGGTCGTGTCGTCTGTCTACCACAGTTCAGTTCAATTCCAGGCGTCGATCCAAGATGGCTCGTGTCGTGCTAGTCACCGCGCTCGTCCTCTGCGCCGCCGCCGCCCTGGCGCACGCCGGCCGCGTCATCCAGGAGAAAACTGCAATAATATCCTACTTCTCTGCTCCGGTTTACAGAAAACCCCTTACTATCTTGAAACCAACCATATTCCTTTCTTACCTCATCAAAACAGCCCAAGAAATATATTTTGAGTGAAACATAAAGATATTTTTTAGTGATATATGTATATCAAAAACTAGACCGTTTCTTTCAAATTTGTGAATATTCATTATTCTACTTTGGATCCGTTGTAACGTACGGCCACATTGCTAGTAAGGGGAAATTAAGTGGTGTTCTAAAATACTAGACACATGAAACATCTCCCTTACACATACACACAAAGCCAAAGCATGAACATATGCGTGACTTATGACTTGTGAGTACAGGTCGAGCCGAGCCAAGCCGGCGTTGGTAAATTATTAATCCAATTTTGCATGCTTATGTTTTTTTGTCAATTACTCCCATCCTTTAGTTGTGCAAAAAATGATTCAGATCGTTATATCCTCCTCACAGAGACTCATGGAACCGGCCACGAAAACACACAATCGGATGCATGCATGCCAGTTCGGCCTGTTGCTGCATGGGAAGGCCCAAACCCAGAAAACAGACCGATCGAAGCTGCCGGCTTTCAGGCCAATGAGTGAGGCGTGCCTCAGAATCGCCTAGAAAGCGCCCGTAAAAATGACAAAATCTTCGCATTTTTTAGAAACCGCTCTTTCGTCGTATCTCAGAAAGGATTTAGGCCGGTTTTAGGTTTTTCGCCCAGCTTGGGCCGTTTTCAGGTTCGCCCCGCCTACGAGGCACGTGTTCGAGCGGTTCTGCCATGGACTCTACCAAAACTAGCTAATCTATCACTAGCCTTATTTTGGGATCGAGAAATATGAGTAATACAAGTATATCTAAGACTCAAAAGGTATCTAATCTCCTTTATCAGGGAAGCATAAACAGAATGATCAACCACTCCACTTGAGATCAAAGAAACTTCCGAGAGCGAATCCATCTCAATGGCTATAGGAAGATCCGAACGCTGAAATGCTGACGACAACCCCTCCATGCAACCACATAATTCCGCCTCCAATGCATCCCTACAAGCATATAAAGCTCTGCATGCTGAGAAAATTATATCCCCAGTGCAATTTCGCAGTATCATTCCCGCTCCCGCTGCATCACTCGAAACATACGAGCCGTCTGTGTTTAGTTCAACCCATCCCTCGCTAGGAGGTAACCACACTGGAATTTCTACAGGTGCACTCACAGACGCAGACGGCCGGTCATAAGATATGACAGCCTTCCCCTTCACCGGATCAACATGACTATTTAACTTGATACCAATCAAGTTGTCTAGATATTTTTGAAGAAATCGACAGATACCTCCTGGGGCAGGGCTGGTTTATGGTGAATTACTTCATTACGAATGTGCCAGCTCCTCCATAAAATCATAAGTAACATGCTCCGTTCCAAATCGCTCAAGGTATCCAAGGCGTGCAGCAACCACTCTTTACCATTATTAACCAACAACTCAATTCTTGGCACCTTCCAAACCTTGCTCATAGCTAAGTACATGTCTCTACCAAGCTGGCAGCGCACAAAGGGATGATAGTTATCCTCCTCCACACCACATACTGGGCACACGCTTGTTGGTTCAAGACTGATCTTGTGTTTGTTCTTCCACGTCGGCAAGGAATCCGAAGCTAAGCGCCACCAAAATTCCAAACTGTGGGAGGTACCTCGCACTTCCATATAAATTGCCAACATGTACGACATCCTGAAGGTGCCGAGCTTGATGACAAAGCGTTGCCGTCACACGCCACAGCTCCATCGGCCGTGTCCTGTCCCGTACACTCGGAGTCGGAGGTGATTGGTTACAATTTCCTTGGTCACCACAGGTAGACACATCAAACCTAGCATCCAAATACGGTGGTGACCGTAGTGTGCTAGCTTCTCATGCAAATCTCGTCGTATGTATGTAAGTATTAATTTCCAAAAAAAATACGCTCGCTCTACTCTACAAACAGAGCAAATAGCAACGACTTCTCTAATTAATTTACTCGACGACATAAACACGAGTCGATCGGCTGCCTTTTTTGTCGGCATGAACACCAAACTTGTCATCAACCAAAGTAAAGTGCTTTAGCTTCCGACCTGCCTAGGCTTTGGCTATTCGCTAGCTCGGCGACTGCTGATAGCATTAGCCAATGATGAAGCTACGAAATAATGCAAAAAAACTAAGATTGATAACGATGTTGCGGTGTGGCTAGTCCACGGCGTTGCGAACGGCCATGGCCTTGTTGAATCCCTTCTGC